AAAGACTGAGCAGAGGAAAAAGTAGCCGAGATCTTCCTTGGTCCGCGCTCTTGAGAAAGACTAGCGCTCACGCCTTGCTTGTGGGTCTAAGCAGAGCCCAAAGCCGCCGTCTGGGGTGGACGGAGGGGCAGTGACATGTCCCTTTGGGCGCCATATGGCAGGGCTGGCTCCGGTGGTGGTGTGAGGTGGGGGTGCAGGGGGGGGGGCGGAACCCCTGCTCACTGCACGTCTATGTCTTGATTTCTGCACATAGAACTGGGGTACAGGCCAGAGGTGCAGGGGCAATGAGAGGCTTCCCCAGAGACAGAGTGGGAGCAGGACAGGCCGACTGACGAAGTCCACTGCTGAGGGGGCACTCCCCGAGGGCCGGGCGGTTCAGGGCCACCTCTTGCATGTTGGAAACAGAGTCCTGGTTGTGGCATCGGGGGCCCTCTTGGCTCAGTTCTTGGAAACCCTGGGGAGCTCCATTTCCCGCTGGGGCTTTGTGGGGGTGTGGGTGGCTGAGAAAATGGAGACCCTCTTGCCAAGAGAGGGAAGCAAGAGGATGGGTTGAAGGTGGGAGTGAGGCGTCTGGTGGCCCTCCTGGCGACGGTGGGGGCAGAGCATGGGCACCGTTCTGGGCATTCACGAGGCAGCGGGGCGCCCGCGGCCCCATCTGACTCTGCCAGCAAACGTGCGCGCTCAGCGCGTCCTGGAAGGGAGCCTTAATTAGGCGTGAAGAGATCTATCAAACGGCAGCCCGGGAAGCTTCTGGTCCCTTTGCCATCTGGACGCATGGCTTCCCACCCTGCGACTGTGCAGCCGCGTGGGGTATGAGGCCCCAGAGCTCCACCCCCTGGGCTGACGAGACCCCCAAAGCAGGGAGAATTCTGCCTGTGTTGCTGGGCACACAGCCTGGGGGGTGCTGGGCTTCGCCCAGGCTCTGGAGGCCAAGCCCGCTCGGGAGAGCTGGAGCTCAGGGCGGGTTTTCGGTTTCCAGTGCCCCGACTGCAAGGAAGAACAGAGAAGGCTCTGGAAGGAGCATGAGAAGCCTGGGGTGCCGACTCGCCTGAGTCATGTGGCTTGCTGCAGTATAGGGGCTCTGTCTTAGGGTCTATGTGGGGGTAAGGCTTTTGGGGGGTCTTGCGACACTCTGGATGCAAATTGACCTCAGTAATTATAGAGCCCTGGACAGGCATTAAGGATTGAATCCAACAAACGTTTATTGAGCAACTGCTGGGTGCTACTCACCAGCCTGGTGCTGTGATGGACACGGATGAATAAAACACGGCGCCTGCCCTCGGCGAGCTTACAGTCTAAGAACAGCCATCGAACAAGTGCACGGTCACTATAATACAAGGCAGGACGCGGTAAGCGCCGGGACAGGGAACAAATAAAGTGCGATGGTGGCTCAGCGAGGGGAGCCCTGGGGCTGCTGATCGGGGGGTGCTTCATGGAGGGCGTGACTCCGCGTGGCCTGGACGGAAACAGGAGAGAGCTTTCGGGGGATGAGCACGGCCAGAACAAAGGCACAGAGGCGGGGTGCACCCCTGCTTCCAGGAGCTGTCGCGGTCTAGACGGACCTGGGGGCGGGAGGAAGGATGCGCCTTAGTGGGCTGGAATGGCGGGACGAGGCCTGGACACCTCTGAGGGCCAGCGGCACCTCCAGGGGCTGTGGATGGCTGGAGAGAAACACGCAGAGCCGGTCTGGGTGGGTGGAGCCCGGCCCAGCACACACAGAGCCATCGGACAGAGGGGTGCTGATGGCCGGGCTGGCGGGGGACACGTGGGGGAGGCGGGGAGGACCTAGGGTCTCCGGGTTGGGTGGGTGAGGGGACTGCAGGTGTCTGCACGAAACGGAGGCAAGGCGGGCGGTGATGGCCTGGCCCCGGAGGTGCAGAGCTGACGGTGGAGATGATGGTGCTCTCGGAGGGGCGCGTCCAGGGCGCCCAGCCTGGGGCCCAGGGAGTTGGGGTCTGGGGCAGCCGGAGGCCGCAAGAGGGGGCCACGGAGGGGCCGCCCACGCCTGTAGTTCCGCCGGGAGGCCGGGAACGGGGGAAACAGGGTCCTAACAGGTCAAGGTGGGGGTGTCATAAATAAATCATCAATACATAAATAAATAAATACATAAATAATGTGGAAGCGGCTTTGGGAAAGGAGGAAAAATATCTCGAGAATGTGAACTCCTGGGCAGCGAGGGGGCACGGAGAGCCCAGGGGAGGGGACAGCTCGGGCCCGGGAAGGGGCCTCTGCAGGTGGCACGTACGCTGGCTGCTCCCACGGGCGAGGCGACCAGGGGCATCGGGCAGCACCAGGGCCGGCCCGCGGGGAGGGGGAGGAGCTGCAGGCTCGGGCGTGCGCTGGTGGCCCCGGACCGAGGGCACCAAGGAGTTGTTACTGGCGAAAGGATGGACGCTGCCTCCTCAGAGACGGGCGGGAGGAGAGGGATGAGGGGACTTTGACAAGAGACCTCAGTTCAGGTGATTCCATGTCTTCAGCGAAGCAGGCAGTTGATAGTGGGGGTCGGTTGGGGCTTGGGGTGCCGGGAGGCCTGGCTGTGGCGCCAGTACGGGCTACCTGGCCTGGGAGCCCGAGACGCCGTCCTCGCCAGGCGGCGGGCCGGGCTGCTGCTGAGGGACAGGCCCAGACTGCTCGGGCCACCCAGGCTGGTTGGGCCAGAGGCCACGTGGGCCCTGTGGCTCTGGGCTCTAAGAAGGGGGGTCGGGGCGGCCAGGCTGCCCTCTGACCGCTAGTGCCCAGATGGGGAAACCGAGGTGCTGGCGGCTCCCGCCGTCACTCCGGGGCAGCTCTGGGCCCCAGATCGGGCGAAGGGTGTCGGCGGGTAGTGCTGGCTCTGCGGCCTTTCCGGGAGGAGCTGGAGGGCAGCGGCCAGGGCTCCTGTCGTGGCCCCACACCGCGGCTGCAGGAGCCAAGGCCAGGTGAGCCAAAATGGAAACGGTTCCCAGGAGCTCTGGCTCTGCGGGGCGGGGTGCTGCGGACGGAACGCAGCCCAACTCCAAGACCTGACACTGGGGGTCCCCCCGGGGCTCACCCCTGGAACATTCTGGAGCCCAAGGCCTGAGGCTGATCTGCCGAGGCCCCGCTGGCAGTTCCGCCTGTCTCCCAGGCACTGCAAACTTCAGAAGTGCAGTGTCTCTCCAGGGCCGTGGAGACGCTCACGAGGACAGGCTCCAGAGAAGCGTAAACGCGATCCTAATTATTTCAACTTCTGGGGAGGCATCAAGTCGCTCCGTTCCCACAAAGGCTGTTAGCGCCGCTGCTTTTTCAAACATTCGTTTTAGAATGCAAACCCCAAACCTCAGTGAAAACCCCAAACCTTTAAGTGAAAATAAGAACAACGGGAAAGACACCGAGACGTGGTGTCGTCCTCGGGTGGGTTAAAGGCCAAGCGGCCGCCGTGCGCTGCCCGCCGGCCATGGCTTCAGAGCCCACGTCTCGTTCTCGATTGCTATTGATTAGTTATGTCCGGTCTCACATGCCAGGGAGCAGAGCTTGATTATTTTTCTTAACTCGCGTCACCTTCAAGATAATGGTTTTTTACTTATCTTTCGAGTACCTTTTAGAACACGGCTATTTCCCAGCCGAGGGCCCGCGTCCAGGCCTTCACGTCGGCCGCGGCTTGTCCACAGGACCGGTGCGTCCAGCCTCTGAGTCCCTGGCATCCAGCCCAGCTCTCCCCAGGTGATGCCCAGTCTTTGATACCACAAGGGTTTTGGGTTCACAAAAGAGTTGAATATTAATCTTAATGGGGAAAAAGGATTTTGCAAAATTCAAGATCACCGGTGCGGAGGGTGGTGGGACGGGGTGGACGTTGGAACCTCTCCCTGCAGAGTTGAAAACCTCAGTGTTGGCGCTCACGGTGGGAAAGTGGCACAGAGTGACAGTGGCACAGGAGTCTGGCCGCAGGGCCCTGGTGTGGACAACGCAAGCTGCAGACAAAGAGCGCGGTTGCAGAGAAACGGGGCTGGAGTCCGGGGTTCTGGGTCTCTGTGGGGCTCCGGGAAGGCAACTGTGGGTGTTTTAGAAAGGATGACATTTATCTTGACAGTGCCCTTTTGAGCTTCTGCTGTGGCTTCCCTGGTGGCCGAAGGGGGCAGTCCAGCCCGTCCTGTGGCATCGCAACAGAGCCGGAAGGAGGGTGCCCCAAGCGCCGCCCTCAGGTCTCCTCCTTGGCAGACTCCAGCGGATTTGAAGCACACCTGCCACGGTCCCCAACTGGAAGCTCTTCTGCCTTACTTCGGGGCGAGCACTGGCCCTAAACGGGCGGCTGCGATTTTTCGAAAACACAGTTTGAAATACAACAGCTCGTGAGCGTCTTCTGCCTGTTCCGCCCCATGTCCTTGGTAAGCCGGAGCACGACCTGTCCACGGGACTTCCCGAGCCGGCTGGCCCCACTGCAGAGGCCCTGCGGGTCAGGGCTGGCTCCGCTGAGGCTCTCTCCAGGGCAGTGGACTCTAGTGGCCTCCAGCTGGGGGGGGCCCGGCCCGCCCTGCGGATGTGGCTGCTGCTGCTTGCCGGCGGGTGCTCCAGCCTCCCTGTCTCCATGAGACTTGGGTCAAGTGTCCCTCTGGGTCTGGGCCTGCCCAGAATCCACACACCTCAGGGGCTCGGGGCAGCTGCCAATCATGGCTCTCCATTCACCCCGGAGGCCTGAGCGCCCCCATGCGGGAGGCGGCAGGTCCCCCCAAGTCACGGGACCGACTTCTTTTTAAGTCCTTCTGCCCCCCCAAAGATGGACCCAGTCTCCATCTAAAGCGGGTGGGGTTCTCCACACCTTCTTCCTGTGGCTTATCTGCCTAATGCTAGATGAACACCACACAGTTATAAATACTCAGGTCAATATATATATGCAGGTAGAGATATATATATTCTGGTCACTGTTTTACACTTGAACAAAGAAAACCACTAGCCTGCTTGTTCTAGAGTCTGCGCCGCCCCGACTCCCACCTGCCTGTGGTGTAGTCGGCAGGAAGTGTGAGCCACCGAGTCCCCGGGGGCCCTTACGTGGCCCCGTCACACTGGCCCACAGTCAGTTTCAAGGCCCCCTGCTCGTGCAGGCTCTTGAGGGCCTTGAACTCCAAGGGCATGGTGTGCGGGCTGGCCTGGGAGGTGTAGCCGTACTTGAGGCTGTCGTAATAATGGTACTTGACGGGGTTCTGGTTCTGATCCAGCGGGAAGGGCCAGAAGCCGTAGAGGTAGATCTGGTTGCAGAAACGCGTGGCCAGGGTGTACATCAAGAGGCCGGTGGTGGGTCTTTTGATGTGGACCTTGTTGGTCAGCCAGTACCTGAAAAATACAAGGAGGAAAGACGCCAAAGGTGACGTGGTTTGGGAGCAGGCCTTTGCAGGACGCGGACACGTCACCCTGCCCAGGGGCATGTCGCTGCAGGGCTGTGGAGACCAGCTGGCTCCTGCTTCTCTAAGGGCAAGGGGGGATGTTTTTCTAGCAGTCCTTCGTGTGGCGGGGTGTTCTTTCATTGGCTCCAAAGGGGAGGCTTAACTCTCGTACAGAGGAGGTGCCAGCCTTTGGACTAGACAAGGTC